AGCAGTGAGAGCTGAAATATGACAATCAAATGTCAGGGTAGGATAAAGTCTCACCTAAGTCCTTAACGGAGTCTGTAGGTAATGAACAGGTCACCATGGAAATTATGGCAGACTTGTCTAAAGCTTTTGATACAGTTGTGTATGAGACATTTCTGTGCAAAAAGCGTAAGCTAGGGTTTTCCAAGTCCTCTCAACATTAGATTGTGAGTCATTTGACTGATCGAACTCAGTACGTCCAAAACGATGATCGCTCGTCGGAACGCTTAAATGTGTCTTTTGGGGTACCTTAGGGATTCATGCTGCGTCGCCTCTTATTCAACCTTTATGTCAACGACTTAACTGACGTACTCCCAACCGAAGTGAATTGCCATCAATATGCGAACGATATTACGATTTGTAGTCACTGTAAACCATCTGAGCTTCAGAGGGTTGTCGGGCGGAGATGCAGGCTGTCTACCTGGTAATTCCTATGTAACTTGGCGCTCCATCCTAAGAAGACTAAAGTAATGCTTCTTTCAACTCCCCAGATGTCACAAACTCATGGACTAGACGGACACTGCATCCATCTCTGCGCAAATGGAAAGAGTCTCCAGCGACTTTTAACTTTCCGCCTACTTGGTACGGAAGTGCACGAAAACGTCAACTGGAAAAGAGCGATAAACTGCACGATCTCAAGTTGTTACGGAACTTTGACTGTACTGAAGAAGCTGAAATACCTTGCCCCTTGAATTATGTAATGTCAGAAAACACTTGGCAGAGTGTCTTATTTTGTCAAAGATCGATTATAATGACATTGTCAGTGATACTATAGCAGATTATCTTGTTAAGAGACTTCAGCGAGTACAGTTAGCCGCTGCTAAGCTGTCTAGCTGGTCATCCCGATGTAACTATGTGACAAGACGGACACTCCATCAATCTCTGCGCAAATGGAAAGGGTCTCGAGCGAATTTCAACGTTCCGCTTAGCGGCTGCTACTTTTGTTTTAAGACGCTACGCAACCAAGCTTGATTTGCTTTATTAAATACGTTCATACACTACCGTGGTTCCCTCGAAAACCATACCCGATCCCAGACTAAAATGGGCAAAGTCTATACCCGGTTTCAAACCAAAACAGCTCAAAAACCCTACGGCGTCCAGGATCGATCTTGTTAGCAAAAATTTGCTAGCAAATTGTTCTCGCAATTGTCGCAAAAGGAATGATTGAGCAGAAAATTATGTGAAATAATCACTTACAAATATCGCAAAAATCGCAAGAATAACAAATGTAACAAAATTTAAGACTTAGAAAGAGACCAAGCCAAGAAGGGCCCCGAAAAGTCCGCAAATGTCGCAAAAATCGCAAAAGTAACAAGAATTTTTCCTGCTACAGTGAAACCTGTATTAAGCGGACACCCTCGGGGAATGCTGTAGTGTCCGCTTAATACAGGGTGTCCACCTAATACAGGTTTCGATAGTTAACGTCATATGAGGTGTCAAATGCCATTCAAATGAACAGTAGAAACGTTTAGAACTCTCCCAGAGACTGTGACGATATAGGTTTGCATTAATTTCTTTATGAAAGTGAACCAATTGATCATAGTACCATAAACATAGATTGCAACTCAAATTTGAAGAAATCAGATAAATGAAAAAAGCTTTGTACAAACAAAACGAAATAGAAAACAATACATTACGGTGAAACCAATCAAATAAGTTCGTCAAGTCAAGTTTTTAAATGTAAAAATCGAAAAATTTGTGGGTGGCAATTCGAGGCAATCTTTCACATTTCCGGTGTCTGGCATGTTGGGTGATGGAATTTAATTACAAGTGTCTGTTTAATACAGGTTGGCAACAATAGAAATGACCATTTCAGGAACTTTTTAGGTGTCCGCGTCCGCTTAATAAAGGTTTCATTTAAAGTAAATAAGGGAAATAAATTTGGGGACTTCGGCTACTGTCCGCTTAATAGAGGGTGTCCGCTTAATACACTCTTTTTTTTTATAAGAATATTGTTTTTCCGGCCAAGGCTGAATATTCTTATTTTTCTGCCGATTTTAGGCTGAAAATATTCTTGTATTATTCTTAAATTATAGCTTATGACATTTCCGTTTTAGAATTTATTGGGGTATAAACACACACCAAAAGCTTTATTTGCATGACCATAAAGGAATTACAGTATTGCAAAAGCTATTAGTCTAAATTTAAGTACTAATTCAACTAATTAGTGCGTGCAAAACATTACAAAATGTTACAGTTCTCATTCATTCATTCATTGATATTAATTTGGTTCTTAATTCAAAGCATTGCGAGATAAATGAAACTAATTGACAGTTAATTAAATAATCAGAAGAATTCATAAGAAGAGATATTAAAGTATCGTGTGAAAGCGATTTGAAGTCAGGTATTTTAGTTTCTAGTTTGGAGAAAAATATGTCTCTGATCTGAGAATAAGCCTTACAATCTAGTAAGAAATGATTTTCATCTTCGATTTTGTTACTTGTACAAAAGTGACATATCCTTTCATGGCGAGGAATGCTGTTTCAATTCTAAGTTGATGACTACTTATTCTAAATCTAACTAATGCTTTTCTCGAAGGGTTTTTTCTTGTTAAAACTAGGTACGGCGAGGGGCTATAGTCGTCTTTGATTGTACAATAAAAACTGAGTTTTTGTGATTGTTGAAGGGTCTGATTCCAGTAAGAGACGTATTTATTTTTCATTATGCCGATATACCTATTAACTATTGAGTCACTCAATGAATTACAGGAAAAGTCATAGTTTAGATCATAGTAGTCAACCATTTTCATGAGATTAGAGTAAAAGCTAGTTTTTCCGTTATGATGAAGGTCAACTGAAATTTGTAAGGCCTGTTTAACTATAGAATCTTCATCTTTACCTCTCAGATAGTCTAAGTAATTTAGAATCTTTTTATTTATATCAATGATCATGGGAAATTTACCGAGTTCAGCTCCACAAGCAATGTTGGATGCCTTGTTATGTACTTGTAAATAACGTTTACAGAATTGCAAATGGGTTTTTTCAATTGCAGAGCTGTCCCAGGACTTAAAATCTGATTTAACAAAAGCACCCCAGACTTCACTGTTGTAGGTTAGAATTGGTGAAATCATAGAGTCAAAAATTTTACACGCAAGTGAGGGCTTAAGACTATTCAAATCCGTATGCCGCCTGAGGCTGAAGAGCACGTGAAGAGCTTTTTGTCGGAGATGTTCAAGCGAAAGTGTAAAATTTCCGGAAGATGTAATGCGAGTTCCTAAGTAAGTATAGTTTTGGACAACGTCGATTTCTTCATTGCCTATGCGGAAGTTATGTTCACATTTTCGAGTGCATCGTTGAAATATCATTATTTTGGTTTTCTTAGGATTTATTCTAAGCATCCATGAGTTGCAATATGAAGATGGTACGTTAAGGCAGTTTTGTAGACCAAGTTTGGATCGCGATAATATTATCAAGTCATCTGCGTAAAGGAGAGAGTTGAGTCTGGTGCCATTTGGTAACACGAAGGGGTCTGATAAAACATTGTCAAATGAGAACGCTAGATCGTTAAGGTACAAGTTAAAGAGCAGAGGGCTTAAAATGCAGCCTTGCCGCACTCCTCTTGCGTATTGAAAAGATCGCGTTTTGTTATTTCCAATCCTGACAGAGCAGGTAGACTTCGAGTATAGACTCTTAATTAGATGTATTACATGTACCGTTCATCGAACTGTCATTAGCGTTGAACATTTTGCTATAGCTAGTGCAGGTTTTTTCGTTTTGTTGGCTAGTTTCGCCGTTCAGAGAAAGGAATAATTTTATACGGTTAAGTTAAAAACATAAAATTGTATTGTATTTACAGATGTTTCAACACACAAAATTATATCTATCCTTTTCAAAATCTCAGCCTCGGCTTTATTCTTAAAATATTCTTAAAATTTCGCAAATTTCAGCCTCGATTCTTATAAAATATATTCTTATATAAAAAAAAGAGTGTACGGTGTCCGTTTAACTGACAGGTTTCACTGTAGCTAAAAAACAAGTAACATTCTCATTGTAAGTGTAGAATTTTGTTAAACTTGTTATTGATGCTTTTTTTGCCATATTTGTTACTCAATCTTTCCACTAGCAAGAAAAATTTTTGTTATTTTTGTGATTTTTGCGAAATTTGCTATTTCTTCTATACTTTTCTGATGGCAGTTTTCCTTAAATCTTTTTTGCTAAAATTGCGAAAAGAACTGGTTAGCAAATTTTTGCTAACAAGATCTATCCTGGACATAAGTGCTTTGGGGCGGCACATACCTGGCTTATATAAGCGAGTACTCCCCCCCGGATAACTGTAGGCCCATGTGGGTCAGTGCTGTCTAATTCTAAAGTGGATAAGGTGACTCCGCTGTTTTTTATTAAAACAATCAATAAGGGCTGCAGAGTTGCTAGCTGGGAAATGCGGTGCTCTTCCGATTAAATTGCATTTATTCGAGAGAGCGCTTTTTGATTTTTCGTCTTTATTAAAGGGCGGCGCTCTTTCAAGAAACTACGGTTTTCATTTCATATGAGGGCCTTATTACACGTGTGGTTCATCTGCATTACATTCGAAAACTTTTAAATTTGTGGTCAATTATCACATTTCTGGCTTTAACGGCCTAACTAACCGTTTTACTGCTTTCCGAGCGGGTACATATAATTATTTTTTAGGCGGCACCACCCGAATCAAATAACCTTCGCTGCATTCGGCTGGTGCTACTTTTGTAACCGTGCGTTTGTCGAGGTATATCAATTGTTCACTAAGTTTTTCTTTGTTGTAAGGTCGACATTGCTCCATACCAAACGTCAGTTTTGTCCGCGACGAGCGAAAGATTGTCACATTCTTTGTTTATATTTATACTTTTTTTGTCTCTAAATCCAATCGTTTTTTGCATCTGATTGAATATGAGGACGGTCACTTACTAAAACATGCAGAGAAAACAAATCTTGCTTGATTTCATGCAGTGCCTCAAAAATATATCATTGTATAAATATCTATTTTCTAGGAAGCGTGAAAACAAAGCCTACTTCCTGAATGTGACGTCTAAACGAATTCCTGTGTACTGTCACATGGAAGCTGCCGAGCTTGGAGCATGCGGAGGAGGTGGATGGACGCTCGTCATGAAGACCGATGGCGAAAAGGTAGCAGCAGCGATACAACAATTTTTGCCCCCGAAGGGATTTCGCCTTCTGGGCGAAATCCCGAGGAGGCACTCTAGTAACTCGCGCGTATATTAAGGAAAGTACTTCCAGTTGGAATATACAGTCAGTATGCCAGAAAAAACTCGAACAGGGGCCGCGAGGAATCGGTAGGTAATGATGACGTTTCTATTGTTTGCGCCCGCAAGTACGAAATGGTTAGGATGACGTAAAGACAGAAAATCGCGAGGGGACCGGTTAGGTAGATTTTGTGACATTTATTGTGCAGTCCTACTTCGATACTCTTTTGCGTTTCGTGTTATCAGTGACATTCTGTGGAGCAGTTGTTTTGAAAGTTATGGACCAAAAGACACTCGTTAAGCGCAGATGAAGTTCTAAGGTGCGTATAACTGTGTATACATATGGAGAGTTTGCCAGACACGAGTTTACAATTTTTTGATTGAAAACCTTGCCAGACACTCTTTCTCTCTCTTTGACCTGAATAAAACTCAGCCCCAACCAAGCAAGACGAGTGAACAACGACTAGCTTATCACTAGCAGAACGATGGACGATTACAGAAACTCGCCGACAATCAAATTCTTTGCTGACTTATTCCCTGTTCACAGATGTCCTTCCGCTATAAGGTTTAAAATAAGACTAGAATGCTCGAGCGTGAATTGATCAAACGTCCTTTTAATTTTTAAGGCTTACTTTCCGGCAAATAAAATGAACTGTATGTTAAAAGTGAAAGAGAAATAGCTAAAAATTCAACTTCTAATTAAATCTTTTCTTATGGTTTCGAATAAACTATTCTCGAAACTGAGAATGTTTTGATCAAAGCTGTGTAAATCGAACTGAAACTGTGCATGGAACCTTGCGTTTCCTGTATTTATCTCACCTGTTGTATGGAATATGTGTGAAAATCTTCATTATGAATCGGTATATTTCAAAGAGCTACACAACCAGGAAGAATACTATTGACTGACAATATACAGAACGGGGGCAGCTGTAGTGTCAACTATAACTAGTAGTATTCATTGATAATATATTGCCCTCGTTCATGATTGGCTCCAATCCCTTGACTAATTCTTCATAACCAACCGCCGTTTACCATATTTGCAAGATGTAGGACTGAATATACATGATCGATTCTATGGTATATTGCCTATTATTAAAAACTGTCTCATTGGATAATGCAATTCTAGTGCTCTGATTGGCTTAGCCATCATGGTATATGAGCCATTATACCATGCTCTCCAAATATGGTAACTGTACGCGTCTGCTCAAAATTAAAACAAGCTGAAAATCGGTTGTTTTTACAAATAAAGTTGGGAAGAATTCTCGATACTGTTTTGTGGGCGTTTTTGATAAAAAAAATTATTCTACTCGGCCTTGTTGGATATGAGATGATTATAACTAGCTCAGTCTCTCTTGATTATAACCATCTCGGCGCTACGCGTCTCGTTGGCTTATCTACCATTTCATATCCAACGTGCACTCGTGGAATAATTGTTAAATGATTCATCGATCAACCTCGAGCAGTTTCCTTTAAACTATTTTTTGCTAAAATTGCGACCGAGAATTGCTACCAAATCAGTTTTGCGACAGATTGCAATCCTGGACAGCGGAGCTGGTTTTAGGAAAGTAATTAAACAGCTCAATTAGCTGAAAGGAAGCGAACATATCGTCAGCTTTTGGCTGGGGGTACAGGTATTGAAATATCAAATTTGGAAATTGCCAATCCATACTGGACCACACGGTGTGGGAGTCTGTTGTGTAAAGCATTCCGGCTCATGTTTAAAATTAGCTGTTAGGTAAATTTTAAGCTTTGGCATGAATGGGGCAAAGGGCGTGATTTCAATACAGTGCAATCCTCGGGGCAAGTTTTTTCAAGAGCGCACGAACAAAACGTTTATTTTCTGAAAGGTTGATAGTTTCAGATGAATTGTTATTTTTACAATGAAGGAGCAGAATTTTTGTACAGAAATTGATTTTATTTAATTTTTGCCCTTTTTGGCATATTTCCTACCATAATAATGTTGCGCAAAAGTGGGTGATCCGAGATAGCCCGTGAGGAGAATCTTGTGTGCCGCTCGCAAAAATGTTACCGCGTAGGTTTCTTAGAAGAATGGGGCTTTACTGACAAATTATGAGGCTAATTTGGCTCGATTTTGGGTGAGTTCCTTTTTATTTGCGTTTTTATGAACCCAGACCGACTTGAGGTCCATAAAATCGCGTAAAAGAACCAGCCCAGTATCCATTCCTCTTGACCGAAGATTTGGTAAATCAAGGATTTATTACATGGCCAAAAAGGAAATTGTTTCTCGCACAGAACACAGGATTCGTTTCATCTTGACGGGTCGTAAAACGGTCAGTCATATCAGTAATGTAGCCTCTTCACACTGGCTCACTAGTGACGGTACACCGAGATGGCGGCCATTGACCATCATCACAGCGAAATGTTTTGAGGAATCTCGCCATGTCACGTCATTTACCTGGCTGGGGTATTTATTACATTATTTTAATTCTTACCAGGCGTTTGATTGTCTTAGCCTAGCTATTCTCAAAACTACTTGGGGAAGGGGAGGAGGTTGGATGTAGTTGACCCCCAGGGCCCATAAGGCCAAATTGGATAGTCTTAAAAACTTTTTCAGCAGAATGTGACTGCTGTGATGTCATGTGAAAACAGTTTGTTAATTGACGATATATCATTCTTTATCCGTTTAGAATACCTTTCATTACGATTCAAAATTGTGGACCAACAAGACGGACCATAATCCCTCTGCGGGAAAGACCCTGCTTGATCATCAAGAAACAAAATTACCCACCTACTGGAGCACACCATTCACTAAGATCTGCCTCGCTATGAAGATCGGCCATCAAGTTAATTCGATCGTCATCAACAAACCAGCCAACTCCCTACACTCCCTGATCGCTGACGGAAAATATCGTTCGACGTCACTGGGTCGTGACACCTGGAAGAAGCTGATTGGCCAACAGGCATCGCTGCATAGAAATTGTAACCAGGAAGGGTTCAATTCTCGTGAGAGGATCCTGTGGCTCAGCAAAGCAAGAATAGGTATCATAGGTAACAAACAAAACGACTGTAATACCCCTGACTCAAGAATTGGGTTTGGTACTGGTGGTTTTCCTAATGATTACAACACCTGTGGAAACGCGGCCGGGTCTTCGTATCAACCAGACAATGGTGACAAAAACATTAAAGCGATGGGCTACATCCTGGTGCAATGAGTATACAAATGCAACGTCAAAAATATTGTTCGACTTCATAGTCAATGATCAGTGTCCTGCTAAATAGAAACTGTAGGTGAAGTGAAGGCTTAATTCTTGCGTGAACAAATATTTGTGGAAATTAAATTGAATAAACGCATTGCTCAAAACAAAAACCTTTTGCTCTGTTTTCCTCTGTCTCAGTCATTCATTTATACTTTTTCCGAGATACGTCTCTCTTCAGGGAACAGTCCTGGAATTTTTTATCAATAGCCCTTTGATGCATCCCCACAATCCCCTTCCCCGGCTACCAGCGCCAAAAATTACACACGCACACACACTCCATGACACAAACCCGACACTTTCTGGCACAACACAGCTGGAAAAAAACGCACTTACTCAAAACAGCGCCACCCGAATTCTCCTTGGCATCTTTTAAATGAAAAAGCAATAAGCGCTGCGGCGCTCTCTCGACAATTCAATGTTTTACTGCATTTAATCGAAAGGGCGCCGACCTCAAGTAAGAGTCGCACAGGAGAAGAAGAAGAAAAATAAATAAACCCACCGGCACTCTTTCGAATGAACATATTTTTCTCCTGCATTCAACCCATTCAAGCGAGAGTGCCGCATTTTCCAGCAATATAGCAGCGCTTATTAATTTTTGCTAATCAGACCCTTTAATATGTTGATTACCATTGCTGATATAAGCTTGAAGCATATTGATATAAGTTTAAAACCCGTCTTTAGAAGAAATGAAAGTTCAAAACAAAACAAGGTTGAACTTTCATTTCTTCTTAGCAGTATGGTATTTAAATAAGTGTGATGAAAGTGATAATAAAGTATCTCCATAAACAACTTTAAATTTTATTTATCGTAGAGTACGTACGTGATACTCCCATTAACTGAGTCTGCAAGGCTGCGTATTAAACTTCAGTCAGTAAAATTCGCTCAAACCAAATTGTAAAAATAAATCGGAAATTTCGAAAGAGCGCCGCGGTGCTCATTGATTTTCGTACTTGAAGATGCCAAGGTGATTTGAGGGCGTGCTTTTTCATTTTAAATGTAATGCAACAACAACATAAGCTTTATTTGCATTACTATATATTTACAGTATTGCAAAAGCTTTAAGATAAAGTTATAATTTACACTAATGATAATACAATGTAATAATGATTAAAATGGCCAATCAAGTGTCATCAGTATGATTTGATAACAAATTATTAAATACTTAAATCATTACATAATGAAATAAATTTTAACAAATGTGAATTTACAGAAAAATTCTACGATTTCATCAATGTAATTATTAATTCTGTGCAAGATAGGTGAATAAAATCAACAAATTATGTTGGATTTGATTGTAGAATTTTTCCCTTGGGGTTGAATACTTTGGACAATGCAAGAGAAAATGAAATTCGTCTTCAATTATACCATAGTTACAAACAGGGCAAAATCTATCGTTGTGGGGAGTTTGATTATATCTTCCAGTTTCAATCATGAGTTTGTTGTTATTTGTACGAATTTTCACTGAGTCTTTCCTTTTGGTTGAATTTCTGGTTAAGTCTAGATAACTTGAAATTTTATAATCATGTTTAAATATGCTGTAAAATTGTAGTTTATCCTCGTTTTTACGCAGAAGATACAATATGAAATAAGGAAAGTTTTTGTAGATATTAATAATTAATGGCAATCGTCCTAATTCACTTCTACTTGCAACATTTGAAGATTTATTGCTTATTTCTCTTTGAGACACGGGATCGCCCGTCCATTGACTCGACGGCTGTGCTATGTTGATGAGCCCCAGTAAGGGCGAAACAGCTGTCCATGGCTGCCACTGCCCGGGTGATATGGTTGTGTGCATACGTTAGGTACTGGCCTGACCGCGGGGTTGACACGTGTGCCTCAGTCTTGAAATTGGTATTGAAATCGATTTTGGTTCGAGGTAGCGCGAGATTCGGTTAGCGAGGGTTCGAATTATCGGGAGTCGACTGTATCAGCGGGAGAGTAAAATAATAAAGCTTTCTGGGGGTGTATAATTTTTGAGAATACTCGCGAGAAAAACTTCAAGATAAATTTCGTCCTCGTCCTCAAATCTAAAGCTCTCTAACAACATTATTCATGACTCACCATGCATACGACATCTAATGCACTGACCAACATCAACTCTTCTTTCGTACTTAGTTCCTCTGAAGTGCACATGTTCAGCGGACACACACCTGCTGCCTCTTTCACGTGGCCCGCACGTGCAATTCATAGCGCTAATGATGTCTTGCAGACCACTCAAATTCCTGATTGTTGTCACCTCTGAAGGAGAAGCGATGCAGAGGTTTATGTCTAGGCAGACCTGTTTTAGGGAAAAAGTGATGGGTGGGACAAGGTGAGTTTTTTTTTTTCATCATAACAACAACAACAGCTTCATTTGTACCGAACTTATTTTTTACAACTGATTACCAGGACTGGCCCCTGTAAGTTATACTAACAATTATAATGATGATGATTAAGGATAATAAGAAGAACAAGAACAAGAACAAGAGTACGAGTTGTCCGAAATAAACGAAAAACGTGTCTAGAATAATAGGGTAGCAGTACCGATGAGTTAAGCAAACAGTAATAAATAGAGTCTGAGATTTAGCATCGGCTGACTCGTCCATCATTTGCATGTTCGCTGACCCTTGGCGCTGAAGGAGCCGCAGTGTCACCTGGGATTGGAGAGGTCCGTCTCTCTCTCTGGATTTGTAGGCTACAAGCAAGTTATCGGTAGCAATGGAGGGGGAAGGGTTTCATTTCTAAACTTTCCTTTCTTCCATTCCTTCTCCTCATCCCATCCTTACATTTGAGAGACTTCGCTTGCAGATAGATCCCTCAAAACCATGGAATTAGAAAAGGCTCGGATGGAGAAATCCCATTGAGGCTGCCGGAGTTGCCAAACGACTACTTAAGACTACGGGGCCGTGGCAATAGGCAGACTGCAAAGCATTCGCGTTTTTACTTGGATCGCCGCTCACAAAGCGCGAATAGCTCAATGCGTGGCGGATTCTCGCGCGTTAAGCGCGCGATTTTATCACGCGTGTCACGCATGTGCGTGACTTTCTCCACCATTCGTGGGAAACTCAAACTAATTCTAACACGATTGCTTCACACACTAACTCTATAATTTTCCCCAGAATCGAAGCCTGTGAGAAGCTTCTATTTCTTTTGTCTAGAATTAGCTTTAAGCTAAGCTGGATGTACAACGTCTATTACCCGGCCTGTTCCTTTTTCCATTTTAAATCTCGTTTCGCTTCCACGAGGCTCGTTCTGCAGGTTGTCACCTGGAATTTCTGACCACTTCCTGCAAAGAATAACATAATAAGGATAATAATTTATGCATGGTGTTTGAAGCATTTATTAACATGGACCACAAAGCTAGTAGCTTAGAATAGTACAACGATTTGAAGGCACGTTCGTCTTGAAAAGAACATTTTGTCACGTTCATACTTATTCAGGATCTTACGTACAGTAGTTTGTTAATGTCAAGTGGCCCTTAAAAGCTTAAACATGTTTTTATTAACGACTTAACTGCAATCAACTTAAAACTGATATTGATGTTTGTTATTGTTTTCTCCAACACAGTCTCCTTCCCCTCGTACAGTTAATAACTACTCAACGCTTGAAGTTTTCCCAGTTTAGTTAAGACTCGATAAAAATGTTCATTCCTGCTCTTTCAAGTCAACTGTCTTTTCTTTCAGCTCTTTTTTTTTTATCAAATGATTTAACTCAGACTGTTACCACATTTGTCACAAATGTAAAATTTACGGTGACACTTAAATTGTTTGAGATTTAATTTGTAGCTGAGTATAGTTATGATTGAAATACTTTTTATTCTTCCTGCGACCTTGGCTTTACAATCCAGGGATACGTGAACAAAAAACAAATTTGTCAATCAAAACTAAAAACACTTTCTTTTATGTAACCTCAAAGGAAATATGTGCTTAATATCAAGTGTTTTGATGCCTAAAGTCCTAGCGCTGAAGCATTTTTCAGTTTTCCAAGAATTAAAATGATATTGTCTTAAGTAATTCACTTCGTAATATCCGGGCATCTCTTGACGCTGTCACCCTATTTTGCAATCAATTCAAAGGTGACAGACCATAAACGATTATTATTTTCTGTATAACTGGAGTTAGACCTCCAGACTAGACTATCGTCTTGTATGAAGCAGCTCCCAAACAAGCAATTTATGTGCCTCCTTGATCATTTAAGTGGAACAGGTAGAGGCTGAGTTGTGTCAAATGTAAACAAGATGGCTTGATCATGCGTAATCACAGCCATCCAACTAATTATCTCTAGCCCTTCTTCGATCGAGTAGCATTTTTAGTCCCCGGAATAACCAGGCACCTCATCGGCGTTATTATGTGCGACAAGTAACTTGTCCGCTCGTTCACAACAACAAGAAAACAATCTGAAAGTCCAAAGGCACTATGTTCGGTCCCAGTTACCAACGTAAGAGTGGCCTACCTGTGTACACTTTTTCTGTGGTTACCCTGTGGCACACCCTTCTCACCATCTTTTCTCTGCTGGAGCCAGAGGCCCACGGCACTGTCGGGCAGTGACTTGGGTCGGCTACCTAGATACAGGAGAATAGCTAAGTCTCTAAACTTTTCAAGGAAACTGAAAATACCATGCTGCCACAACACCCTCATAATGCTGGCTTGTTTTGCTGTGTGGTGGGTGACGGGAGAGGTTAGCGGGGGGGACGGGAGAGACTCAAATCAATTACAAAGTGAATATCTTCCACCTGGACAGCATTGATTCCACTTTCGGGCCCCGTCCACAAGTATCCGGATATCTTTTAAACGGCGTTTTCGGACACCATGAAAAGCAGGTTTTCGAAAACGGTCCCTAGAGTAGAGGTTTTTGAAGACGCCGGTTCTCGTTTACATGTGGACGGTCAAAACCCGGCAAACGCTTTCGAATACAATCATGTCAAACATCATATACTCCTAACCTTTACGCATGCTCTGTAAGGAATGCTATCGTAT